CATCGCTTCCGAGGAAAGCGCCGGCCTTGTCGTACACCTGCTGGTTGCCACCAGGGGCGTACAGGTAGCCGCTGGAGAGACCGAGAAGATGGGGCTGGCCGAAGTTCTGCAGGACGTAGAGGGTCGGGGTCTCAAGAAGGTTGCCGACACCGTGAGCGAAGATCCAAACGACCTGAACGACCTCAGTCAGGTTGTACTTCTGAACGAACTGGCCAAAGGGCAGCAGAAGGTCCTCAGGGACGTTCTCGGGGATATCGTAGGCGCCCTCAGCCAAGAAGTCAAAGTTGAGGGTGGCGAAAAGGTAGCTCGCCAGAGGTCCGACGAGGGTGTTGGGGTCGACTGCCGTAGCGTTGGGGACGACGAAGCCGGTCTTGAAGTCGACAATCTTGCTCGGGAAAGGAGACAGAGCAGAGGCGTTCAGCTGGACGTTAAAGCGCTCGAAGAACTGTGTCGTCTGGTCATTCTGGATGAACGCCTGCACGCCGTAATCGATAGTTGCGCCGGTTGCGGGGTCGCGGAAGGTGTTGACGTGGCCTCCTAGCTTGTCGGCGCGCTCGACGACGGCGACGGTCTTGTTCTGGTCCCGGAGACGGACGGCGGCGTAAGTTCCGGTAGCTCCACCTCCGACAACGAGGACGTCGCGCTGGATGATGTCTTCGGGCTTGAAGGCGGACTCATCGTAGCAGCCGAGGCCGGAGGGGGCAGCACTAATTAATGTGGCGCTGAAAGCGCATAGCGACAAAAGGTGGGAACGCATTGCAAATAGAAGTTGTGGAAAACGAATGGCTGGGTGATCAAAGGAGTGACTTGAGACGTGCTTCTTTCCAAGACCGGCTTTATTAAGACATGGCGATTATAGAAGCTATATATCCGCACATGCCGTATTCCAAGGCAAAAGGTGCCGACTGAGCCCGGCGGTCCGGTAAAGTTGGAAGCCAAGGCCAATCACCAAGGAGAGTTTGACTCAAAGAGGTAATGAAGTCAAATTGATTAAAGAGCACGAACTCTGAATAACGGGCTCCACATCGACAGACGGACATCTTCAGAGTCCAAGGCCGGGCTCGGACTCTGTAGGGGCAAGTGGTTACTACAGTCCTGTCTCTATCGATTTGACGGTCTTTCTCATATTATTTGCCCTGGTCGGGGTCCAGACCGTATTATCGTCTTGTTTTCGTTTGTTCCTGAGTTGCAACCTGTTGGCCGTGCTTGTGTGCTTCAAAAGGCCCTACATCCCGGACCGTCCGGTGGATTACAGCTTCTCCGAGCAAGGATTAGGTCAAGATGCTCTCTCTTAGAGTTCAGCGCTTTGATTGACCAGGGCTGAGTGACAGCTGGAGAGAGAAATGCCAATTTACTAGTTCGCAACAAGGTGGGCTGAGTAAAATGAGCCTGAACTCACTGTTAAAAACCTTTGCATGCGCCCGCTATGTTCGCCGGCCTGACCAGCGCATCTCTCCGTCCGAGACAAGCTTTCACATCGTCACGTCAACTAATTACTATGAATAATGGCGACAACTCATTTTGAATAGCTGATCTCGGAGCGGTCGCTCTCGCATTAAATGCGCGATATAATTTGCCTAACCGCCGGATTCTAAACCTCTCTATGCTGCCCTCAAAGCTGTGCTATTCACCGCCGGTTCAAGACCCTTTCGCCTGGCAGCGAACTACAATTCGCTGCAGTTGATTCGCTGCCAAGTCAGATTTTGTCGAAAACCAGCCGTCAGCCTTGAAGCAACAGGCACCAACACGCAATTGCGATTCTACGCAATTTGCGCCATCCATGGCAACAGCGCCAACGATGAATAAGGTTCTAATGAAATGCCGACACTGACTCGGTGGAATTTACCGGTGGCCACAGCCCCTGAGATCTTCAGACCCCAATTCCACTCTGGATGATTTGCCTCACGACCGTTGCGCTTACGCCCCGCCTCCCGCCTCGGGTTTTGACAACGGAATGGGGTAAGGGACTTGCGTATTGAAAACGAAGTACAAATTGTACGAAATACCTCCTTCAAAGAAACAGAAACCAAAATGCTTTTCAGGAGAAATTGTTCCGTCAAGAACTTAGCAAGATAATCAGATATCCTTGTTCAGTAACGGAATAATGGTGAACGGATAGCATGGAAGTGATTCGTGCTAGAGGTGATCAACTCGTACTAGGAAAAGTTTATTGTAGCTTTCGTTTGTACCGAGACGATGTTTACAGGGTCTAGTTCTAGCGCTACGAACTAAAAACTATCAATAACTCTACTGCAATCATCTTCAGTCCGCCTTTTCACAACTTGAGCATTGCCCAAGTACTCATGTCGTGATTTGAAAGATATTTCCTGATGTCAGATCAAAGAAAAATGACCAACAGTCGCTCATGCAGCCTCTTCATCCGCAATAGGAATGAATCGCAAGAGACACCGTTGTCCGTATGGCCGGGCAGAAATGATCTGGTCGTGAGATCGCATACTCTCGGGAGTGACGGAAGGATCCGGTACCGTAGAATACCGTCCATATATGCCACGAAGCAAAATCTTCATCTCTGCCAATGCAAGACTATTCCAGTATTAGCAGAAGCTCGCACCTATAGTCCGTAGGAAGGTAGTGGAAAGTCCTTACTGTTTTCCAACACAGCCTCTTCCACCGTGAGCAAAAGCAAACATGTGTCTCTTCCTCTCGGCCTCTCCAGTGGGAGATAACCAGCGTTCAGGGCTGAAAATATCAGGATTGGGGAAGACAGCATCATTGTTGCGATGAACCGAGTATGCCTGGCTGCTCACGATGGTACCCTCAGAGACAAAGTAGCCGTCGACTGTCTTTCCTCCTGGCGGGACCACTCGGGGGAGTGACATTGGGATCGCGGGATAGCATCGGAGGCCTTCTTGAACCACGGCGTCAAGGTAAGAAAGCTTATCAAAAGAGACATCTGGGTTCTCTCGAATCTCTTCTTGGAGTTTCCGTTGTATTCCGAGAGATGCTGGTTGTGACAGTTCCCACGTCAAGAAACACAGGGAATCACCCGTTGTATCAATTCCAGCTACCATATGATCCGTGCATTCCGCGGCAATGTCAGTGGCATCCATCTGGTTGACACTGCTGCCGCTTTCCCTCTTGTCTTGAAGGCGGCTTAACAGGGTGAAGGGCGCGGGGTCGATTTTGGAGGTAGCGCCAACAACGAAGTCCTTAGCAAGAGGCGTGGTTCGTGGATCGAAGAATAGGTCAAGAATCTTAGAGAAGTACTGGTAAAAGACAGGATAGTGATGCTGGATCAGGCGGTCTAGTTAGTAAGTTGAGGGTTAGCAAGCACACACTGCTCATCCAGTCGGGCAATCTCACTTCGTAGACTATCGTCCGTCGTGACTTGCTCCATCATGTCCGTGTCTTCCTGTTTTTGGAGACTATTGGTTCCGTAAGGGTGGAACAAGTGATGCGTCACGCAGTCACAAGCGTAAGAGTGAAGCTTAACCTGGTGAGCAGAGGCAATAGCGTCAGTGTTATTGATGACAGGGTTCACCGCCATCCCTCCGTGCTTAAAGATTTGAACTTACATATACATTCACACTTCTACTTGCTGCATCCGCACACTGCCTTACGAACTCTTCCGCACGCTTCTCAATACCGCTCAGCGCTACGGGCTTCACCACATTGCTATTAGCATAGCGATCAGCAATGATACGCTTGCGCTTCGCGTGCTAAACAGAAGTTAGGTTTCCTCTGTCTTGGACTAGTAAATGAGCTAGGTAACTTACATCGCCCTTCACAAGAGTTGAAAACATGGTTCTAAATCACGAGCGCAGGTTCACGATCAGCATCATCTCAAATCTTTTCATGGAAAAGTGGCACTTACCTGCGCCCGAAAACCTTGAAGAGGTTGTAGAAACGATGTTTATCATAACCACTTCCCAGTGATCCGTAAATCTCTTTGACCGCCTCATAAGACGTATAGGAAACTTCGTTGGGTGTAATCCGCACGACCGGGCCATACTTCAAGTGCAACGAGTGGATGTACAGCGTTCGATTGGCGCCGAACTCGTGCCATCTCAGGACGATTGAGGTGACTTTGGAGAGCGCTGGTCCCGGGATTCTCCATAATGGGGATGAGTAGCAGCGTGCTAGGTAGAACACCAATAGGGCTCCAAGGATGGCTGCCCCAAAAAGCGGGTTTAATAACATGATGCAAGTCTTCGTTGCTGATGGCACTGCCTGGCTGTGCTATGCGAAGCCTTAATCACGCCAATTGACGAGGATTGGGAATGATGCTGAACATAAATACCCCGTACTACTGCTTTACCGCGGGGTCGGCTGGGGAAGAACGGTAAAATCGGGGGAGATAAGGACGGAACGAGACGAATCAAATTCCCTCCAAATCAAACAGGATCTTTGTTGTTGAGTCATGGGCGGTTTACCCCGCCTATCTAGTTCAATTCCGTTCCCCTAATGTTAAGAATTGGCGAATTCCGGATGGGCGGTCTTGTCTTGTGGATATTGAAACAACGCCTGCTCCGGGTTCGGCCCCGCATTCTGATCGCTAATGTTAAGAAGACCCGAAGATACGGATCAGCCGAGACCCCCGGCCACAAAACCAACCCCCGTCTTAACCCGTATTTTCTCCTAATGTTAGGCGCAGCCGTGTTTTCGCGCATCGTCTTCCATGATTCTTGCACCTCTGACCAGCCAGTCTTTGATGACAATCGACGAAGTACTCTCTTCCCACACTAGTCCACTTCGAGGCAAAGAGAAGCACGCCGTGCAGGAACGCTCCAACTGTGGCCTTTTCAAAGGTCTCCTTATCGTATTGCTACCTGCATCTAGTGGGCAGCCGACATCTCATACTTGGGGTTTTGGGTAAGCTGCTTGAGTCTCCGTCTCTCGGTTGATGCCAAAATTCTTCCAGTACCGGTAGTCCTTGATAGACACGACTGATGTCTGGAAGGCAAGAACACTGTTGCGAGAATGTTAGTGTTTGAATCTCACATAGAACCGAGCCAGCCGTTGCGTAGAGGCAAAGAAACCTACATCAAGACCATGACGATGAGAGTCACGATCCAGCTGATAGCACAGCTACCACCCGTGCAGAATCTTCCGTTCGCCTGGCACAAAAGACCAAAGGCGACGAACCAAAACACAATCTCCATGGTATTGAGGATAGCGTTGGCTTTGAGTGAAGCCCACTTCTTGAAACGCTCCTTGTGAGTCGTCAGAAGTTGGTAGCCGATAATGATGAGAGACTTGAAGCCCTGTACCCGTCTAATGTCAGCCCCAATCTTCGATAACGACGATTCCAAATTGAAAAGAAAAAAGCGAGCTTTTCCTGCAACGAAGAACTTACCATTGTAAGGGCCATGATGTTGCCGCGAGTGTAGGGAACCGGCATAGCCATGCGCCAGATGGTGAGGATGATGGCCAGTACCATCAGGGCGACCTGTGCAATGTGAATTTTGGTCTTGTATCTGGTATCGAAGAATCGACCGTCAAAGAAATCGCGGAGCCCCATGGTGATAAGAATTGTTGTCCTTGCCCTTGCGATTCAAGAATAATTAAGATCGTCGTGCTGACTCGGTGGTTTTGAAGGGCGACGGATCGGATTTCAGGCTGTCTGTGGAAAGTCGATGAATGCGTTCGTAGGTCTGATGGAGCGGTGTAATTGGGATTTGAAGAAGATTTGAGATTGGACAGTTTCTTTATGTATATTCTTCAACTTTTGTTTACATGTATTCGATATGGCTGGGCAACTGCCTGCTTGCATATACGCGGAGTTCGCTGTGAACGTATACGCGTATAAGGTTCGAACGCCAACTGCATCGCCACAATAACTCGAGACAATGGCTAAGGGACTCCACACCCCAGATTCTATACCGAGTACTACAGGTGAGATTAAAGCCGACTAACTGAAGGGCGGTTAAGCGTAGCACCCTAATTAAAGTTGCCGCGTGGCATGCATGACCCGATTGCTTGGCTCAAGGCTCTATTAAGTAGTCACAACGATTCCAGATCGCTGATTAAGGAATTAGGGGTCTCCTTGACGCTATGTATGCTACGGCGTCGGGACTGTACGCAATAATTTGTACGCGTTTATTTTAGATCTTGTTCTGGGGCAGTGCATGCCTGGGCTGGCGCGTTCTTACCTATAGTAGGTAATTGCCAGTCATTCGCTCGTATAAATGGAATTTGAAACCGCCGTACACGTTGCTTGTAAAGCTGTTGAGAATTGGAGCGACGAAGCTGACAAAGGCGTTACGCGCTTTGAGACCCTGAATCGATGATCGGTTCAGTGATAAATGCCGTCTTGGATCTAAAAGCCGTCTCTAAAGAACATCCTAGACTAGACAGAATCGCTGAACAACAGCGTTATCTACACTCAGCTTACTAAAGGCAGAGGCTTGGCTCGCGGCTCGTTCCCTTACTTAATTCCTCAATCACGGGAGATTCTACATAATTCGTCACCTTGACCTGTCCCCAAGGTTTCTCAGTTCAAAGCATTTGAGAACGACGAGGCTCTTGCTCCGCATAATGCATCACACTGGCAAGAGTGTAATACACAGCTCATGGGGGCCGGCCTGCCAACTAAGGGAGCTGATGGGGGTTCGATTTCGAAGTTGCCTCCCACAATCCCAGGACTACTGGGTGTATTGTTGGCAGTAGACGTGGATTCAGTTGTCGTAGGAGTTCGTACCAAAGTCTCCTGAGTGGTTTGAGAAACTCGGGCTTCACCCCCAGGAGCATGAAAAACGAAGCCGCCCTGGCTGGCACGTTAACAAATCGCAGGCTGTTTTCCTGGCGCCTGAGTTCTCATGTATTTACTGCTAGTACTAATACCTGATGCATGGGCGCTTTGACGTTACCTAAGATGTTGGGTCGGTTCTATTTTCTCTGCACGTGGTAAAGTTTACTGTGACATATTAATAATGTCAGCACCTCATTCGCCATAGAATCGACGATGGCGAAGTTGACGAAGTGGTGAAGTTCAGATTCGAAGTCCTGGTCCCGTGAAAGACGCACATCTTTGGATTTCTGCGAATCGCTTCATCAGATCAAGCTTACGTAGACAATCATTGATGTATCGCGAAATTATTGTATGTTGCGGGGCGTTAAGACGGCCTCCGTGAAAGCCGGCGCCGGCTCCGCAGTGCCGTCTTACCGCATTTCAGGGTATCTATCAACATATATCGGAAGCCCCGGGATGCGGCTAGTATGTTCGCACGAATAGACAGTCGCCCTGCTATCAAAAAAGCTTAAATCCCATGACTATTTCCCAAGGGCTCCGCGGAGGGCAAAGCTCGCCGCGAAATGGGCCGGTAATTACCTTCATCACTATATTAACAGCAGACTTTTGACAACACAGGTGAACCTTGTCAAGCCGGTATCCCTGTAGTACACGTCCACCACGCCCGCCAGAACGCGTGATTGAAAAAGTCGAGCATGCTAATCGCAAGATATAAGTGCGCATTTCCATCGGCCCACGGCCGACTTCGCACGCGTAATCGTCATGGCAAATCATGAGCGGCGGAGAGTGTTGAAATAAACACTCCGTCTGCAAAATCAGCCAGACTCAACGAACATTCCCGAGGACATGGCTTCGCTGCCTCTTGAGCTCGTGGAGCAAATCTGCTCTTTACTTTGCTTTCACTGTCCACACCCAGGGGCCTTTCCCGAGGCCGAGAGCGACGATTATCGACTCAGCAAAAGGGCATTATCGCGGCTTTGTCGCGTTTCGAGACGAATTTGCGCCGTTGCGCAGCCGTTCCTTTTCCACGACTACGCCACGGGCGGGTTACCTCAAGGCCATGGATGCGGTATCGGAGCACAGTCTAGCAAGCCCTTGCAAGATGACGACTACGACGACAAGCTGCCGATCTTTCTGCGCAGCATCATACAGCGTCCGGATCTGGCATCGCACATCAGAACGCTTCAGCTGGTAGAGAACGACGTGATTAGCGGGTGCACACCAGACCTAGCACCCCTCCTCATCAAAGCGACCGAAGATGCTGGTGCTCTACGACACGCTCCGAGCAGAGGCTATCTCCAAACGAAGATATGGAGTGGATTCTCTGGTCAACCAGAAGCTTTACTGCGAATACAGCGGCGAAAGATCCACCACTGGCTCGAGGAGTTGGCAATGCTGCTATCACCAAACGTCGCTATGCTTCTCACAGCCCGGGACAGCTTTGTGGATTATGAGCATATTAGAGACAGTCGGGTCTCTTTCCCCGCACTACGAACGATCGCTCTCCGGGGCGTCAGGAAAAACCATCATATTTACGAGGCCTCTGCGCTCTTCGCCGCAGCGCCGAATCTTGAGAACCTGGATTCAATGCAATGCAGTCTCTTCGACGGTCAAAGCCCTTGGACTCTCGTCAAGCCCTGGACACTGAAGTTGAAGAATCTACGGAGGTTATCGCTGAGCGAAATAGGCTTTGAGGATCTCAATCTGCTGGTAAAGTGCTGCCCGAATTTGGAGGAGCTGGCAGTCGCAGCAAAAGAAATCTACCGCAACTCGGAATTCAACTATTGGGATATGTCAAAGTTGCTTCAGGCACTTGAACCTGTTCGCCATAATCTACGAAGATTGCGCCTTTCTCATGAGTCTGGACGATCGCGTAGGGAAGACTCTCGGTCAACTCCTTCTGGTGGAATAGTCTGGTCCTTTCGCGGCTTCGAAAATCTAGAGGAGCTTGCATTTGATCAAGCGGCGATCGACACTAGTCCGCGAGCAGCTCCCGTGGAAGATGGTATGGGCTTATACACCAAATGGATCTTGGCTGAAGTCTTGCCAGCGTCCATTCGACAGGTTGAGATCTTGCATGCCAATAAAAATTGCAAGGAGAAGCTTAGGCAGCTTGCCGAAGAATGTTCCTCCGCGTTACCCAGCCTGAGGGTTGTTCAGGTCAACTTTGACAAGTCCACAGACAAAAGCGATATCGATCTGGAGTGCATAGACCTCATGAACGTACAATTCTAACCACTGGCTATCGAGTTGATGTGGGATATAGGCGGTTTCGAGAAAGATGGCTTGACATTACGTAAGGGCGGCCCAGCTTGGATCAGGGTCGATTCCTGGTTCGAGCCGATATTTGCATGAGGAATGACAGTAGAGTGTTGACGAAAATAGACTAATAGATAGATTATAGAGAAGAGAATGTTGCAATGCGTTTTCGGTTTGAACGCAGAGTAGATGAAGAAGCCGTACACCCTTGACGCCTGGCACATAGAAAAAAAAAACATCATAGAGAGTTGTTCATCGCAACTATGCCAGGACTCAGGCGATAGGCCAGCTGTAGTCTGGAAGGCCTCGGCGAGGATATTCCGACTGTCGAGGATAAGACATTTGAATGAGCACGATGCGCTCGTCTCCTAGCAAGCATATAGAGCAAGCGAGGTCAGTAACACCCTGAACAATATTCAAGCTCCGAAGCGGTTAAACAGACCTGGGACCGTGGCCCAGGACCTCGATCTCGGTATGTAGCTGGCACAAACAACAGCGGGCCGGATACGCAAATCAAAGACATGGACTGAGATGAAGCAAACGCTTCAAGCGACGAGAGATAACACCAATGTCCGCGTATGCGCTGCAAGTGATGCTTGTTAAACCTCGCCGTGCAAACCGCATCCAGGGGCTACAACAGACGACCGAGTGTTCCACACGCAGATTCAAGTGCGACCGCCATTGCCTCATCGGATCATTTGTTTGCTCGTCAGTCAAAGACAACGGCGGGCATGCCGGCAGCCGGGGTTGATGTCGCTGTCGATGCTGATGTCCCTTAGTGGTTTCTCGTCAAATGCCCGCAATGAGCCGAGTTCTGGAACAGTCTCGTCGCCGAATACATTGCTCAATCATGTCTCAGATCAGCCGCAATAAGTGGACGGAGGATGGATACGGCTGTAGTTTTGACAGGTGCGCCTGCAAAGCACTGCAGCGATAGCAGCCACTTGTTTCGAAACGCCTCTGGTTGAATCCTCGCATGGTGTCAACGGCTTTGTGGACAGGGGGACGGGTTGAGCTAGAGCTGAATAGGGGCGAGAGAGCGAAAGGCCAGCTTCGAAAGTAGAGATGTAGACGACCTGGATTTGTTGAAAACTTTGTGGCGGCGCCAATGGTGTCTTTGACTCCCGAGACATTCCTAGTCTGGTACTGAGGTAGTACCGGCCACCGACGACAGCATCTTGGAGTAAAGGCAACGTTGATTTGCCGATGGGGATGCCCCAAGGCCGAGTCAGAGGGCTTGCCGACGTTGATGGCATGCAGTGGGTGCAGTGATACGGCGTAGAGACTCGTGGCAGAGCGCAAGGGCCGGGAAAGCGGTTACATGTCGAAATTACGACGCAAACATTCGAGGTATGTGCCTCGATCGAGGTTTTCTGTCTTGCGGCCTTGTGGGAGAGACGGCATGGAGTAGATGTCGAGTACCATGCCCCACGCGGGAAGATAAGGACAGGACAGGGCAAGATCGTCTGAATATGAGCACTGAGCGGACTCAAGGCATGAACATGTTAGCATCGCGTTTGTGTCAAAAGGAAACGTAGCGCCGATCCCATCTCAGTAGCAGAAGCGCGTGTCGTGGTGTCGTGGTGTTGTGGATGTAACCTCCCATCGATCTCGAGCCACGTGCGTCGCCGTCTCTATGGACATGCTCCCTGGTCTTTGCGTAGAAATAAGAGACCTGCTATGACGAGGGGTTGGACCGCCGAGTTGACGATTATTGATGCGAGAAGCGCGAGCCTGGCCGCCTTCTCCACTGATAGCGTGATGACAGGCAAGGCGAGGGGTAGATCCTTGTGAAGGAGACATAGAATGCCGATAGAACAAACGAGAGACCAGCGATTACCGAAAAAAAAAAAAATCGAAGAGGAGATGGCGACAGTTGTCGCACAACGGGGTGGCACGTTGAGGAACAACCGAACCCAAGTCAGAGACCCAAACGACCCAAGTCGGGTTGACAGAGCGGCAGGATTGCATTTCGGTCCCGCGAAGGCAGCGAGGGTTCTCCCGATCGCGACCAAAACGCTGGAAACTATTCCAATGGTTGGACAATCTGGGGTGTCGAGTCTGTGGTGCGGCTAGATCTGACAAGTGACAAGAGATGGGCGAGCGTAACTGTGGTCCTTGATCACTTGAAGGAGTCCCTCCGTGATGCTAAGCCTCACCGCCGAATGAGAACTGGGGGGCTCCGTCTGGCCGCTTGGATCTAACGGCTTCGCTAGAACCTGTTCGTGTTGGTTTCGTGCGGCGTAGTTTCTCGCTTCCTTGTGGGCCATTCGAAGATGCCGAAGGAGGGCACTGGGAAGATTCGAGGCAATCCAATCCAATCTTGCGGTACGGATGGAGATCTCAAAAAGAGAGTGAGTGGACTTTGTTGAAAGCAATGTCGACGGAGTTGTTGACGGAGCAGAGGGAACATTCCTCACCTCCCCTTAGTCATCATTCGAGTGATGACTAACTCGCTGTAGTAGCACGTGATCCACCTTCAGCTGAGCGGCGGTACGTACTCGTCCCCCGGAAATGGACGCAGAGCAAACGGAGGACGTTGCGCGTTGCCGTTGACATCCATCAAACTGCACGTCAACAACAACCTTTGATCAATCTTTCGGGCACTTGCATTCAACGGTTCAACTTCAGGCTGGATGCATCAAGTGAGCAGCATCTTAGACCCTCGAACTGATTGCAGCATCGTGCAGAAGAAGCGGCCTGCCGCCCTCTCTTACAGCTTGACGCCCTCGTTGTGCGACTTGGAGATGCCCTCGCTCATCCCATCCCATCCCATTGCTGAGCCATTGTCTTTAATTCTGATCCGTCTCGGCTCTCTTGAATGCGCCTTACCGTCCCCATCTCTTCTGGCCCACTCCAAGTCCTCCAACATCCAATGGCTCGGGGTTTACGAGGAACCCGCGGATGACGCTCTCTACCCGTCTCTGGCCTTGGAGCCTCCCGTCTTTTGCCATTCCGTGTGGGTGTCGCGTCCTTCCGCTACCCTTACTGCCTAGTCTTAAGTGCGACGGGGGGATGATGTTCTTCTACCCTAGCCCAAGTACCGTATGCATGCTCAGTGCCGGCGCTTGCTAAGTTGTCTTGCCGGCCAACGTCTACTCACTGTATCTTGTCCTAGTTCGTCATCATCATCATCATCATCCCGACTACGCCACCAGGCATGGCTCCAGCTTACACAGCACACCGTTCGGCGCATGGAGGAAGAGCCCCCAGAACACCTGAGACAACGTCTGGCCCCCTTCCAGGGTACCGTCTCTCGTACAACACCAAGAGGCCGATACTTGGCGTCCGCTTCCCGTTCACCAGCCAGAGTCAGAGTCAGCGCTACCTCACCTTCTGCACTCCTCCCCTTACCGGAAGCAAGCCGGTGTGACATGGGAGCCCAGACAAGTGTCTCGGGGACTTGCGCTCTCTTCTCTCCCAGCACGACCATCACCGTCTGCTTCCGACCCCAGCATTCACGTCCTCGGCAAGGCCATGGGCTTGGTCGGAAGTTCCCCCAAGGACTGACACGTCCAACACACGTAACTTGATCTATATAGAATCCGTGATCTTCTCCCCTACAATACCCTTGTTTCCCAGTCTCCTCATCAGGATAAACAAACAAGATCAACAGAGTAGCGCTGCCATCTCATCTGCCTTCCGCATCGTGTCACTGCTCCATCCCGAGTACCCGACTCTACTTCACTGGCACTTGTAGACCTACTCAACTCAACCCTCTCTACAGTATTCGACCATCTCGTCGTCATCGCCAACATGTTTGACGCTCAGAAGGCCGCAGTGCCGTCCTTTATGGCTCCTCCGACATTCCTGCAGTCAAGAGCGTCAACCCTGACACCAAGCGACTCGAGCTCAAACTACGATGAGATGGAAAAGGACATTGCAAGCTCTGCCGCGTCATTTCAAGATATACGAATCGACCCTATCCTGCTTCCTCCTGTCCCGTATAGCGAGCTATCAAGGATACCTTCCGTCAAGTCAGAACAAGCCGAGATCGTAAATAACGAGGATGATCTAGAATATCCCAAGGGAATGAAGCTGGCTCTGATTGTTATGGCATTGTGTTTCAGTGTGTTTTTGATGGCTCTTGGTAAGGAACCCTCTCCCCCAAAATCCACACTCATTCAATAGGCTAGAGCCACAGCTGACCACCGTCATCGCCTAGACAATTCCATCATAGCCACCGCCATCCCACGTATCACGGACGAGTTCAAGAGCTTGAACGACGTCGGCTGGTACGGCAGTGCCTACCTCCTGACAACAGCCTCTCTCCAGCTGCTCTTTGGCAAGTTTTACAGCTTCTTCAGCATCAAGTGGGTGTATCTCATCACCATCGCCATCTTCGAGCTGGGCAGCTTGATCTGCGGCGTCGCGCCCAACAGTATCGCCCTTATTATTGGCCGTGCCATCGCGGGAGTCGGGTCAGCCGGCATTTTTGCCGGGGCACTCATCATCCTCGCCTATAGCGTGCCCCTCGAGAAGCGTCCCATCTATACTGGTGCCGTCGGTAGCATGTGGGGTATCTCGTCCGTCGCTGGTCCTTTGCTGGGTGGTGTCTTTACGGATAGTCTCACGTGGCGGTGGTGTTTCTACATTAACCTGCCGATTGTAAGTTGATCTCGACTCCTCGTCTTCGATGCCACTTTGCTAACGCCGTACAAAGGGAGCCGTCACCATCTTTGTCATTCTCTTCTTCTTCCCTGATCCCGTCCGGTCCATTCCCCAAGAGACATGGCGAACGCGCTTCATTCAGATGGATCCTCTTGGAAACATGCTTTTTATGCCGGCCATCATCTGCCTCCTTCTCGCCCTTCACTGGGGTGGCGTCACATACCCCTGGGCCTCTGCCCGCGTCATCGTTCTCTTCCTGATTTTCGGCTTCGGTATGGCGGGCTTTCTCTACTTGCAGTACCTCGGCCAGGAAAACGCCACAGTTCCGCCGCGCATCTTCAAGCAGCGCTCAGTCTGGTCATCCTCCTTCTTCGCCTTTAACACCGGCGCCGCATTTCTTTTGTCCGTCTACTTCCTGCCCATCTGGTTCCAGTCCGTTCAGGGCGTCTCCGCCGTCAACTCGGGAGTCAGGAATCTGCCCATGCTGGTCAGCAACATCATTGCTTCACTCGTCGCCGGTGCCGCTGTCACTATCTGGGGCTTGTACACCCCGTGGATGATTCTCGGCTCGATTCTCATGGGAATCGGGTACGGCCTCATCTCCACTTTCAATCCCAACACATCCTCTGCGATGTGGATCGGTTACCAGATTCTTGCTGGCGCCGGAGTCGGCGCCGCTATGCAGCAGCCTCTAATGGCTGTGCAGGTGGTCCTTGACATGGCCGACGTGCCCACGGGAACCGCCATCATCATCTTCACACAAACGGTCGGCGGGGCCATCTTTGTCGCCATCGGCCAAACAGTCTTTACCAACAAGCTCGTGGAGAGCTTGGTCGAGTACATCCCGACCATTGACCCCCACTCCGTCATCGCCGCGGGTGTGACAGGCATCCGCAAGACCATCGATCCGTCCCTGCTGCCCGCGGTAGAGCACGCCTACAGCGACGCCCTAGCACAGGCGTTCCTAGTGAGTGCTGTGACGGCCTCTGCGACCATCATCGGCTCCGTGTTTGTGGAGTGGAAGAGTGTCAAGGGCAAGGATGTCCACGTCGGCATGGCGTAGTCGAGGCCCGGAGACCCAGTCGAGCTTCTCGGCGATTTCATTCCTTTAGCTCGGGGACTTTGGCGTCCCGAGCCCATCATTTCTCTTTGTTTCTTGGCGTGATTTTAGAATGTAAGCTACGAATTGGAAGGCGTTACGGGTTGGGAGCATTTGCTTGGTCTGAATGGCCGTATTGACGGGGAATGCCCGTCTTCTCAGGATAGCATGCCGCATCTTTTGGAAAATCCTCCGATTGAACGCGGAAAAAGAATAAAAATAGATTTAAATGTCAGTCATCATCTGTAATCCCACGTGGCGAAAACCGTCCCGCGCAAGCCGTAAGCACCTTAATTTAGGCCAAGCATTTTTTTTGATCTGCATGCTCTCAACTACACTACCAGTCATATCTCACCAACTAATTGCCATCCGCAACACGGATCACCATCTTCTTGGCGCGGACGGTACCATCCTTCAGCCCATCGAGAGCAGTCTTGACGCCCTCGAGGCCCTTGACAACCTCATACGGGTGAGCCTTCATCCACCCCGTCCTCAGCGCCTCGGCAAACACTCGCGCCCAAATCAACCCAAACAGCCTGCCTTGGCCCTCCTCCTCGTGCACGAACCCGACGCTCGTGACAACGACCTCCACGCTGGGATCGACGTCGCTAAAGTCCTTGCCGGGCAACACCGTCGTGATCCTCGGCTTGAACCCGGTACCTTCCTCGGGCGGGCCCGCGATGGCCTTGCTGAGCATCTGGTACGACCCCTTCTCGCTGACCGTGTCAAAGACCCTGAACGATCGCTGCCCGGTCGCCTTGATGACCTCCCTCAGCTTCTCTGCCAACTTGTCCTGCGAATCGAATTGCGTGTAATCCAAAAACACGTCGCCCTTGGCTTCCTCCAAGAGAGGCGTGACAAAGGCGCTGTTCTTGCTTCCGATGGCGATGAGAGGGTGCACGCCCGCCTTCTTGGCAAGCTTGATACCAAACGCGCCGATCGCGGTGCTGGCGCCGTAAATCACAACAGGCGCCTTGGTATCCCTCTTGCGGTCCCAAGGCGAGGGGATCTCAAGCGAGTGGAACAGCGCCGTGGCAGCGGTATACGCAGCCAGCGGCACCGTCGCGGCCTCCTCGTAGGAGACGCTCGCGGGGAGGTGGAAGGCGGTGTAGGCGGGGACGATGGCGTACTCTGCGAAGCTGCCGTTGGCGGTGCGCATGATGTGGAACCCGGCGACGCGGTCGCCCTTTGCGAACTCGTAGACCTCGGCGCCGACCTTCTCGATTGTGCCGGCTACGTCATCGCCCGAGTTGGAGGCGGCTTGGAACCAAAAGGGGAGTTTCCAGTCCTTTGGGTTCGTGCCGGAGACGATGACTTTGATGAGGAGTTCGCCTGGGCCTGGTTCGGGGATGGGGGAGTCCTTAATCTCGACGGAGAGGTCGGCGTTGACGATGGCTTCTTTCATGGTGGGCGGTGATGTACTTAGTTGATTTTTGAGTTGGCGTAGTAAGTATCCAGGTACTATTTCTGTTCGGATGAGAATTGGCTATCCTCGACTTGTAAAAGAGCTGTTGAGGTGAAGAATGGTTCTGCAGTGTATAAGAATTGAAGGTCTAATAGTGAGGCCAGTGACGTCAAGACTTCCGGGACCTGAAGCTCTTCTTTATACTTCTAGATTCCATGCATTCAGTCTCCATCCCGAATACGTTCCCAAAAAGAGGATACCTCCCTACTCCAAACTCTACTGTACAAGGCATTGGGTTCCATTCCTCTCTCGGACAAGGGAGCACCCGCTACAACCACATGGTCCCCCTCCTCAACATCTCCAATCAAACACGGGGGCCTCGCTTCGGCGAAGGAAAACGCAGGTCCGGGCGAGCCGCTTCTAAGGGGCCCCGCCCGGGTCCCCGCCCCGTGTGTGGTGATTGCACCCACGGCCCACCACATCAGATGAGGGGCAGAGCATGGACTTTAGAACGGATTACAAATCCAACGTCAGGCAATGTTGCACCCACTAGGTGAGTTGCGAAAGTCCGCTGCCCAAACTCCGCTACTTTAGTCATCTATCGTTATGAAGACCGAGAGTTGAAATAGATTTCGGTCTGGCTTTCAGTGAATGCATCGTTAGTTGCTGGAAGTCTTATGTGGATTAGTTGAGGCTAAGTCAACCATTAGAAATCAATTCTGAACACGTTCCTATTGCGAATAATACGAGACCGTCGTACAGGCGTAAATCTTGGTTTGGCAGTTCAATATTGAAAGGAATACAAGTATGATCCGACGCTCTTGTACTAGTTGTTGATAGTAGTGTGATTGACACCTAATTTGACAACGACAACTCGAAAGTGCATTATACTGAGTTAAGGGGTCTATTTGTAGGCCAATTTAAGCGCAACGTCATTGAAAAAACGGAGTTGCTACTTGGGCCTAAGTCTTATCTTGTGAATCCAAGCAGCCTCCTAGCTGACAACCAAGTCAACTAGGTGAATATTGGCTGTTTGCTCAAATAGACCACCTGCAATTGATGATCAAGGGCAAACTGCAGCTCGGCATAGAGCAGCAGCCTTGGGTTTGTGTCTTTTCTGATTCTGTGTGACGTCAGTAGCGGTGACAGTATCAACCAATTTACCATATTCTGCCATTGATATTTTTATTACTTTTGGAAACTTAGTACAACTCCAGGGAGCCTCTTGAAACTGCTCAAGATCAATTTTGACCTACAATCCAGGCCCATCCCCAACTCTGTCGTACAATTCATCAATGTCGTCCTGATACAACTTGAGAACAGCCACCCTCTGGACATTACCCTTCCCAGCAATGGGAAACGGCTTGTCCTTTCTACTAAACAAGATCCTCTCCTTGGCTAACTGACCAGCCGCATCCAAAATTTCGTTCCCCTTTTGCACCATCGGCCAAATACCATCCAACATCTCCTCTTTCGACGTCCGTTCACCGTCATCAACAAGGTCAATGATAGCACAAATATACCGCCTCCCCGTCCCGCCGACAACAACATGCTTCACCGCCGGATGCTGCGCAATCTCCCTCTCCAATAACATGGGGTTCACATTCCACCCAAACTTGGTCACCACAATATCGTCCCTCCGCGAGTAAAACTTCCAATGGTGCGCCTTGGTAGGATGCTTCACAAACAAGTCGTTGCTCCGAAAGACACCGTCGACGACGTTGCTGTGCCAGAAGACGTGCTGCTGCTTCTCCACCTTGGGGTTCCTCACAAACGTCATCTCGTAAACCTGTTCTTGCGGCTCACCTTCAGACCCGGACCCCTTGACCTCGCAGGGCTCCCAGACGATCCCGCTCTCCTTGTCGTTGAGGCAGAGCCAGTTCCAGTCCTCGCGGTCCGTCTCGTGGCCTAGAGCGGCGCCGGCCTCGGTGGACCCGATGAGCTGATCAAGCTTTGTGCGGGCTGACAGCGCGTCGCCTGCGGGTTTGCTGAGGGCACCGCCCGCGTAAAAGATGAACTTTAGTTTCTTTGCGACGGCGGCGAGGCAGACTGGGGACTTTGCCACCATTTCTAGGTATATAGGTACCCCGGCCAAGCAGTCAAAGTCGCCATGGTCAAACATTTGTTCGAGCGTCGATGGCGGGATGGGACCAAGGGTATTAGGACCAAGGACGAGAACCTTCTTGCGGTAGAGGGGGTCGGTGACGGCGGAGAAGAAGCCAAAGGGGTGGAAGATGGGCATGGTCTGGTAGCAGCGCTTCCCCTTGGAGAGGACCTTGTGATAGGACGGCCGGCCGTCGAGGTCTGGAAGGAAGCGCCAGACGGTATCGACGACGACAAAGGACCTCTGCGTCCAGGTGATGGGCTTAGGGAGCCCCGTCGTACCCGAGGTGTGTCCCACGGCGGCCGGATCGTCGATGCCCTCCTCGTATGTCCTTTTGTAAGGATACGGCTCCACAACTCCGTCTTTACTCAGAAGACTGTCTAGAGATGGCGCTGTAAACGTTTTCATCGGTCTCGCCGCCAACAGCGGATCAACCATAGCGTCCACGCCCTCGCTCCGCATCATGATGTGACAATCTTTCTTCTCGCAGAGACTCAAGTTGTAGATAAGGCTGTTGAAATGGGAACACAGCAGGATCTGGTGGCCCGTCTTCATGGCGGCCATGATGCTGATTGCATATCTGATGTCGGGGAGGCCAAAGTAGAGCAACGTCTCGAACGTTGTGCTCTTTCCAATGTTGGCTTCAATGTGCCATGCCACTCGGTCGACTGCTCTTGACAGCTGACGAATGGTGACATCGCGGAATCCGTCGTTGGCGATGTCCTTGCTGATGGCGTATGAAGCCCATATGCGCTCTGGATCCTGAGCCGCCTGCTCGGCCACGACATGTGGGACGAGGCGGTGGGTGGTTGCGTCTGCCATTGTCATGTAGCTGGTATCGCTGCCGACTTAAGTGAATTGAGCGCACCGATATGGGGTGCAAGAAGCATGCCAAGAAGACCCCAAGTAGACATCCAGATGCCAAGGTAGCTTGTTTGCTTTATACATCATGAGCCCCATGTGGAGAAGGAAGTTGTCGTCACGGATCTCAATCCTTCTAACTCACATCCCTCTCACGTCAGCTGGGTGGTGCATTAGTCCACAATAAATGAAAATTGAGGGCATTAGGGAACTTTGGGAGACAAAGCCAATCTCTGGGGTTAGCCTACCTATGCAGTGGTCGTAAGCTTAGCTTCGTCTAGCGGCCGGTAGAGTCCAGATTGGACGGGGCTCCGAAAGATCGTCACAAAGTCTGACATGATGAAAACGTGGATAGGCCAGGACTGGTCGGGGACTCTGACATAAATGAGCCGCAATAGCCGCTTACTAGAACCAATGTCACCTGTTGCACTAACACCCCAAAACCTCGAAATCTTACCGAGTGAATTGTCCAGTCATCTTTGAGGAGTATTTACGACTTTCCTCGATAGTATTTACCGTAATCTAGATGTGACTCTGAAAAAAGTCCACATAATCAAAAAAGCTCCTTTTCACCCACCTCGCCAACCCCGGATCCGACCGATTCACACCCATCATCCCATACTGCGCCTCGAAGCTCCCAAACTCATTATTATCAATCCAGCTCCACGCCAGCGCCCCAATAACATTCACCCCGTCCTCGTGAATAGCCCTCAACGTCTCGGTCAAAAAGTTTTGATAGTACATTGTCCTCTCGAAATCATACCGCTGCGCATCGTGCGACGTCTCTGCGTCCGCCAGCTGCGGGAATCCAAACTCCGTGACCATGATGCCCGAGGGCCGGTACGTGTTCCAGACGAAGCCGAATTGTTCCCTCACGTACGACGGGGCGATGAGGGCGCCGCCTTCGGAGATCGCGCCCATTGCCCAGCTGTTGGCTTGGATCGTGGTGAGCGTCACGCATGAGGGCCAGAGAGGGTCGGAGGAGTTGGCCGCGCAGGCTTCGTAACCGCCTGGTGGATTCGTGGCGTACTGGGCGCCGTAGGGGTCAAAGGCCCAGTAGTCCATGGTCCCGTTGATGTGCGCGAGTTGCTCGTCGGTCAGGGCCTTTGTGAGCGTGGTGTTCATTTTGGGCGTGTTGAGGACTACTTCAGGGAACTGTTTCCCAAGGAATAGCGGGTTGCTCATGATGCCAAGGATGAAGTCTTGGTAGCGGTATGAGGCTGCGACGTCGTCTGGGTTACCCGGGTCCAGGGGGACGGCGAGGTTGTTGGCGAACTTCATTGTGATCTTGCCGGTTCCGCCGAGAACGTCCTTGTACCAGCGGTAGACGTCCGCGTGGGCGAGGAGGAAAGCTGTCAAGCCGTCGTAGCTAGGCAGGGTGAACTGCACGGCAATGTTTGGCTCGTTGAAGGTGACCCAGTACGGCACTCTATCCGCATACCGCGCCATGACTTGCTTGGCATAGTACGCGTAGTGACTTGGGAACTCGTCGAGGTTGTCAAAGATGCCAACAGGGTTGTCGATGTGCATCAATGTTGCAACCGGGGTGATGCCGTACTCTATGCAAGTGTTAATCACGTCGTCGTAGTGATCCAGCGCCTGCTGGTTGACCGGCGAACCCGCTCTGCCAAAGGGCACGACACGAGTCCAGGAGATGGAGAAGGAGAAGTACGGCACGCCGAGAGCCGCAAGCCTTGCGATGTCCTGCTTGTACAAAAAGTAGTGCATGTCTGCAACATTGGAGTCATTGGTACCAAGCAGTCCCTGGCCGTTGACACCAACAACGTCAAGCACAGCAGGGCCGCGACCCTCGATTTGGAGACCTCCTTCGATCTGCCATGCACTAGCAGCCACGCCCCATACAAAGTCGGCAGGGAACTTGAGGTCGGCGTTGTCGTTCAGAGGTCTGGCGGGTAGCTGAGGGGGGTATACCAGCTCGCTGGACGGGATGGGTGTCGGAGACGCGGTTGTCGTGAAGGGAGGCTCGTGCGTGTAAGTGTAATTTGCCCAGAGAGCAGCGTAGGCGCTCTGACCG